CTTCATAATCTCCCTGTCGGTGAGGAACACATCGCCGTGCTCCTGCATCTGCACCGAGGCGCCGTCCTGAGGGAAGCCGATCAACGACGCGCAGTCCCGCCCCATTTCTACATCTACATCCACATCAACAGCGAGACTCACATTTACATCTACATGTACACCTACATCTACACCCACATCCACATCTACATCCACATCTACATCTACATCAACATCTACATCTACATCTACATCTACATCTACATATACATCTACATATACACCTACATCCACATCTACACCTACACCTACACCAACATCTCAATGCTATGCTATGTTATGATGTGATACTATGCTCTGCGCTGCTAGGTCATGCTATTTTATGATATGTTATGATACTATGCGATCTGCAGGCATCTCAATGTTTTGCTAGGCTATGATATGATATTTGATGCTGCGCTATGTTATGATATGATATGCTACGTTATGCTGCGCTATGCTATGATATGGTATGAATTGTTATGATGTGATATGCTATAGTATGCTGCGATGTGCTATGATAAGCAATGCTATGATCTGCTATGCTATGCTGTGCTATGCTATGTTATGATATGCTGAGCTATGCTATGCTATGCTTGGCTCTGCTTGGCTATGCTATGCTATGCGGTGCTAATGTACGAGACCTATGTTGCTTCACATCAGCAATTTGGCCCCTGCTGACTTTTTTTCAAAATAATATATTGGGATGAAACGCTGCCGCTGGATATATCGAGCACAGTTGATCACAACACAAACGCTCCTGCGATCCCCGCCAAAATGGCAAGAAATGGTAAGCTCAGATCCGCATGGCTACATTGCAACCGAACCGCTTGACCACCATCTCGACCGAACTGGCGGAATTCGACCACGCGTCCGACAAAATACGTTCGACGAGGGATGCGCTGCACAATGCCCCGGCCACGGGCAGCGCTACGAGGGAAAGCGGGCCCTTCGATGTGTCACTTTCAGCGCCCGTGAAAGTGACACCTCCCAGGGCCCACTTAAAGAGCACCAGAAAGGCTCCAAGAAGGCCCCGAGAAGGCCCCAGGGCGGCACCAAGAGGGCTCCCAGAGGGACCCAAGAGAGGCCCCAAGAAGGGCCCAAGAGGGCCCTCCGCGGTGTCACTTTCAACGCCCGTGAAAATGACACCTCCCAGGGCCCACTTAGGGCCTCAGAAAAGCTCTAAGAAGGCCCCGAAAGGGCCATAGAGAGCCGCCCTGGGTTCAACTCCGCGTGGCGGAGTTGGAAGCGATAACTTCAATACCCTACTGGAGGCCTCTTAGGGGCCCTAAGACGGCACTGAAGAACCCCATCGGGGCTTTTTCAAAGGCAGAGGAGGGCGCAAAAAGGGGCCTCAGTGAGCCCCTGGTCTAACTCCACCTGGCGGAATTGGAAGCGATATCGCCCGGCGCCTTCATGGAGCCGCTCGGAGCTTCCAAGACGGCTCCAGAAGGCCCCAGGAGGGCCCCAAGAGGATCGAACGACGATTCCTGGAAGTGCACCAGTGAGACCCTTGTTGACCTCCGCCTGGCGGAGTTGGAAGCGACAATTTCCAGTGCCCTCTTGGGGCCTCTGGGGGGCCCCTCAGAAAGCTTTGGGGAGCACAGTGAAGGCCTTCGCAGGGCTGCGTGAGAGCCGTACCAGGGCCGCATGTGTGCGCGGATGGGGGCGACGAGTGCTGACGCTGACGAATATGAGAATGATGAGGGCGATCAAGGCTGGCCCGAAACAAATCCTGGCGCCATTGCAGGCCGCCGATTATCGGCCACGCCGCCAGGACGACGCCAAGCAACAAAACGACACCAACCAACAAACCGACACCAACCAACAAACCAACAAATCGACACCGGCCAACAAAAGGACACCAAGCAACAAAACGACACCAAGCAACAAAACGACACCAACCAACGAAACGACACCAACCAACAAAACGGCACGAATCAACAAAACGGCACTGACCAACCAAACGACAAATCACTTCACGACACCAATGAACAACGCGAAATCCACCGACCGCCAACCAAGCATAAAATCAACCGACACAACGAAACCAACCCATAGAGCCAGACCAACCACTGGATTCGTGAGTCGGGGTAGTCATGGAAGTGAGCCGCTGCAGCCCGCGGAAGCCATTAACAGTGACCAGAGCACCGCAATGCAGCAACGTCCCCGGGCGGCGGCGGGAGTCTTGGATCTCCCGCGGGACTGGAGCGTAGCGAGTTCGTCCTGGGTCCGGTTTAGTGAAGTGAAGAATTTCGGGGTGCTTGCATGGCAAAAACCTTCACTTCACTAATCTGGGGCCCCTGGAGCCCCAGGGCGTTTCAGGTCCCCTCGCTGTCTGGGTAGTCCAGGGGGCGCAGTGGCGGCTTACCAGAGGCCCTGTTCCCTAGCCTCACTTGCTTTCACCCGTGGTGCTCGACGGCCGTCTCGGAGCTGTCTTGTGGCGGTCTGGGGCAATCCCGAAGCCTCTTGGAGCCATCCCAAGGCCCCAAGGCGCCACCAATGGGGGCCCCAAGAGAGCTCCCAGAGGGCCCCGAAAGGCCTACAACAGATTGCACGTTCGCGCGAATTCTTTGTACCACTTTGGGGGGTCCCTCTTGGGGCCCTCGGGGAACGTTCTTGGGGCCCTCCGAGGGCCCACTGGGGCCCCGGGAAGGCCCCAAGAACGCTCCCAGAGGGCCCCAAGAATGCTCCAAGAGGGCCCCAAGAGGACCCCCACAAGTGACAAAAACTATTTGCATGAGGGTGCAACTTACTCGGCGCCTCTTGGGGCGCTCTTGGAGCCGTGCTGGGCGCCACTCGTGGACGACATGGGCTGGGCGACGGCATGTGGACCCTGTCGCTTGGGCCATCGGGGGTGCTCCCCAATGGGGCCACAAAGCTTGTGAGCGTATGACGGAGTGGGCTGGGCGGCGGCCTGCGGGCCCTGCCTGTGGGGCCGTCGGTGTAGCTCCCCGTGGGGCCACGAAGCGTGTGAAACGTATGCCGAAATGTGCTGGGCGGCGGTCTGGGAAACCTGCCGCTGAGATTTTTTTTGGTGGAGCTGCCTATAGGGGCACGAAATGTTTGAGGGTATCATCAATGTGGCCTGGGCGACGGCATGTGGACCTTGCCGCCGGGACCTCCGATGAGCTCCTCATGGGGAAACGAAGCGTCTGAGGGGCGTGCCGACATGGGCTGGGCGGCGCACTAAGGACCCTGCCGATGGGGCCTTCGGTGGAGCACCTCACAAGGCCACGAGACTTGCGGGGGATGTGGCGAAGCAGAGACGCGGGGGAACAAGGGGGGTGTTTTGATGATGTTGATGAGGATGGTGGTGGTATTGATGATGGAGACGGCGAGAATGCTGATGATGCTGATGATGATGGTGATGGCGACGATGACGATGGACGATGACGACGGAGACACGCGGAGAGCAGGGGCAGATACGCGAAGAGGGAGGACGAGGGAAGGGGCCGGAAGGAATGACGCGGGGCGGTGTCTCTTCAAAACGAAGAACCAACACTGCAATATGGTAGGAAATTTCTGGACGACCCCCCACCGTGGCGCGGTCTATGTCCGCGACAGCATCGCTGGCACTACGAACGAAATGATCGAACTCTTCCTGCGACGTTACCCGCGGGGTGGATCAGCCATGGATGGGGGTCGAAACCGCCCCAGCGCAAAGCAAATGTACAATCCAGAGAAACCCCAGCACACATCAACCGACCCGCAACAAGCACGCAAGCCTTTGACGACCCCAACGCACGTGACATCGCATAACGCGACGCGCCATCGAAAACGTTCGACGCGCGGCATCGGAATGACATCGGGCTCCATGGAACGTCGAATGGAAAACATGAAAAACCGCCATGTGGGATCCGAGACCCAAAATTACTGATGTGAAGGATTTCGGTTCGTCGATAATGCTGCGCTGCACTATACTGTGCGAAGCTAAGCTAGGGTAAGCTGAGCTATGCTGAGCTAAGCCAAGCTAAGCTGGGCTAGGCTAAGCTAAGCTAAACCAAGCCAAGCTAAATTAAACTAAGCTTGGCTAAACTAAGATGAAATAAGCAAATTTAAGCTAAGCTAAGCTAATCTAAGCTAAAGCTACGCTAGGTTGGGCAAAGCTAAGCTAAGCCAAGCTAAGCTAAGCTGAGATAGGCTGAGCTAAGCTAAGCTTAGCTTAGCTTAGCTAAACTGGGTGAACCCAGGGGGCGCAACTGGGGGAACCGCGGGCCGGATGCCGGGGGAACCGCCCGGAGCGAGCCCCAGTGCCCAGCCCTTTAAGCACATAGAGCAAGAACCCTTCTAGGCAGAGCCTAGGTAGGGAACAATTTTGACTCGATTCCACGGTCGGCCTGGTAGGGCGCGCCGCGGCTGAGCCTGGGTCAAGGCCCGCTGGCCCCACTCGTCGCCGACCGCGCCGACCCAGACTGCGCCGGCAGCCCTGCGGCTGGCGGCGTCCCGCGCGGTCCCTCTCTCTCTCTCTCTCTCTCTCTCTCTCTCTCTCTCTCTCTCTCTCTCTCTCTCTCTCTCTCTCTCTCTCTCTCTCTCTCTCTCTCTCTCTCTCTCTCTCTCTCTCTCTCTCTCTCTCTCTCTCTCTCTCTCTCTCTCTCTCTCTCTCTCTCTCTCTCTCCCCCCCCACCTCCTGGCTCTCGCGCCCTTCCTCCAGGGTGATGCGAACGCTGTGGGAGACCTCGAGCGCCCCGCAACAAAACTAATGAAAAAAAACACCTGAAGGGGGGCCCACGCAGCCGACTGCATGCTGGAACCACAGGCCGGGATATCTCCAAGCCCCCCCCGCCTGGGCGGGTCCGCCAATGCCCCCGTTTGCGCGGTGCTGATTCCCAGGGCCCCGACGTTGTCGCCTCGCAGGCGCCATTCCGAGATCCCCGCGCGATCGGACTGGACGGTCGCATTTCCCGCGCCGAGCCGGTCGATCCCCCCTGGCGGTTGGCCCGACCCGGTCGATCCCGCGATCCGATCTGCCGCTGACTCGCTCAGATGCTCGATCGGCCTGCGAATCTGAGCTCCGAGCCAGGGCCTGCCCCCGTGGCCAAGGCGCTCGCAGTCGCCAGCACGTGGTCGACAATCGCGCGCCCCACGACGAGGCCCACCCGGTGCGTGGAGCTCTTCCGAGTCTGCGGGTAATTGATGTTGACGACCGGCAAGACTACCGGGCTTGGGTCACCAGGGAATATGCTGGTCAGTGCACCGTTGGTGCAAGCACACAGGCGGGCGAGAATTCCCATTCCGAACGGGAACTCGTGATGTGACGACCGGGTGGCTAGAGTGAGAATCGCTTGCGATGCCTTTTGGCCCAAGGCGACCCTGGAGTCGTACTCCTTGTCGACGATGTCCCACACGGCGCGCATCTCATCTCGGAACTGCTGCATCGCCTTCCCGCCGCGCGCCGGGGCCGAGTCGGGTTCCCACTCGAGCCAACTGTCTGCGAGGACCAGGTGGTGGGTCCCTATAGCCCTCGCGCGGGTTCTGCTCGGGCAATTGTCATTCCCCTCGGCTGCCCCGACCGCGCCTTGTCATGTTCCTTCCCGGCCACCCAGTTCTCCATTCTCTCTGTGCAACTTATGCTTGCACCTAGCTCCAGCCCACCCTTGCAACGCTCCGGACATGGCGGGCGCGGCGCGCGACGCCTAAGCAGCGGGCAATCGGCGCGCGGGCCCGGGCGGCCTCGCTCACTCGCTCCCCGGCTGCCCCGCACTCGCGCCCGCGCGGGCCGCGCGCGCCTGCTCGGCCAGCCAGGCCTCATTTTTCACTTCGGCCAGCTCCGTTAGCAAGAAGGCCGAGGTAAACTGCCCCATGCGGCGCACAGAATATTTGTGGCGCCCCAGAGACGAGAACAGCTGCTCGCAGATCTGGCTATTGATGTTCTTCACGAGCTCCTTGTTGCAGTCTGCCTTGGGTGAACAATTTGCTAGGCGCCAGGGGTCCACGTGGTTTCTGTCGCGCAGTCCGTCGGTGATGTACTTGATGTTGGGGTACGCGAGCCTGCGCGCGAAGGCGCCGTCGCCCTCGCGCTTCGAAGCGCACCGCCGCAAATCGCAAGCATCGTCGTGGCGGACAAAGTCGACTGCTGGGGCCTTCTCCACGACCTCCGCCAAGAAGAAGTAGCGCTGCGGCAGACTCTCTGCGCCCACGTACTCCTTCAGATGCACGATGTAGCCTTCTGGAGTGCAGGCGTAAAGCCAGCCGCATCTTCTGCTGAACTGGCCCGGGGTCGAACCGCGGCTGGCCCTGCCCAAATGCGCCTCTTTGTGGGTCCTGCACGACACGGACTGCAAGTCCGCATCGGGTGACATCGCCGGGATGTGCGCCTGGTGTCCAGCATTGCCCCAGTACTCTTGCAGTTGGCCCTGGGTGACCTGGCGCGCGGCGGCCCAGCGCCTCGGCGCTCCTGGGATATCTTTCTGGTCCCGCGCCGCGAGGCACACGTCGCACGGTTCAGCCCTGGGGGCCGTTTCCAGCACGCGCCGGCGCTTGTGCGAAACTATGATTTCACTTTGCGGCGGGCCGTCGTCCTCGGTCAGGGCGCGAGCCAAGTGCTTGCTGCAACGCTTCAGCTTGAATCCCGGTTTGCAAGAGCACTGCGTGGCAGTGTGCCTCTCCAGGGAGGGGGGGTACATCAGTTAGGCAACAGCTCGCCCGCAGATCCGGCGGGCCAGCTTCGCATTCCCATCTATGACGAGCGTGTTGATGGAGCGCCCGCTGTCCGTGAGCCCCTGCCCTCGTCGGCTGAACATGTGCTCTGGGTGCCATGACCAAATGGTTTTTATCATGTCCGGCGGCGTCTTCAACAAATTCAGCTCCCCCTGCAGAACATACGGGCCATGGCGCGCCGCGCGATCCAGGCCCTCTGCAACTTCAAATCTGCTCTGAACGGGACCACCTCTGCGAGCTCCCGGTAAACCTTGGCCTCGCTGTCAAAAGATGCGTGCTGGAAGGCTAAGCGTTGCGCGAATTGCCGCAGCCACTGGGCAGACACGCCCCAGGTGTTGGCAAGAAAAATATTCCAGCCGATCGTGTCCACTCCAATGCCACGCATGGTTGCTCGTAGACTCTGAGATGTAATTATACCACACGCGCTTTTGCGCGCACCCGCGCCTCTCGCATCTCAACGGCACGTGGCGCCGCGACCCCCATCCACCTACACTAAGCACACTTGCTGTCGCAGCCTCCCGCTCCTGTGCGCGCATGGGGCCTTTACAGTGTGGGCAGCTCCCGTTCGGATGGGACAGGGCACCACAGCTCCCGCCAGCAATGCGCTGTGCTTGTTGGAGTAACCCCGCGGCAGCGATGTCCGGCACCCCCAAATCTTTGAGAGCACTGTGCAAACGTTCTGCCGCCATGCGCACTGGTTCGTCTGGGTTCGGGAAACCGAGCGCTAGCTAGCGTTCTTGAGGTGGTCTCCGACGGGCCACTGTTACGGCGACACCATTGGGGGCGCGCTGTCGGAGCCAAAACGGCGACGGGCCCACGAAGTGCATCACATCAGTGCGCCAGAGGGGGGCTGCAATCACGATGCCTATATACCCACAGGCTGGTCCGGCATAAAAATTACGACGACCCATTCCGGCATAAAAAAAATAAGACGATGCGTCCGGCATGATTTTTACAACTTCTTTTCCGGCGTAATTTTTATGACGGCCGCGGTCCTTCAACATCATCATCATCAGCATCAGCATCATCACCATCAGCATCATCATCATCACCATCATATATACCGCTCACTCATAGCATATCATATATACAAACAACATCCATATATACTGCGCCATCATCATACTTACACATGCGTATGTAAGTTTATAGGTACCATGCGATGTATACATATACATTATATTTAGAAATATGAGTTTACACATGCCTGGTAGCCTCTAGCGGGCGAGCGGATTTGAATTGGGGGGGATCTCGCCTTATGTTTGCTTGCGCGCGCCAGAGCCGCGCGGGCCCGAGCACCGAGCAATGACGCCGAAGAAGCCCCCCACACCCCGCTACAACGACCCGAAAATTGTGGCCGCGATCTTAGCACCACATGTGACGAAGGTTGGGACTGCTTGAACGCCCTCCCCCGCGATAGCACCAAGTTCTTAATGTTAGAGGTGGCTCGAGCCACATGAAAAATTAAGACCTTGGTGCTATCGCGGGGGGAGGGCGTTCAAGCAATCGCACAGTGCGCCTTCTTGGAGTACCCGCAGCGCGTCGACGCCGAGATCCAGCAGGATAAAATCGTCAAGAACAAGGCGCGGGGGAGGAAGAGGGAAGGAGGAAGGAAGGAAGGGGGAGGAGGAGGAGGAGGAGGAGGAGGAGGAGGAGGAGGAGGAGGAGGAGGAGGAGGAGGAGGACTCGAGGAGGAGGAGGAGGGAGGAGGACTCGAGGAGGAGGAGGAGGAGGAGGAGGAGGAGGAGGAGGAGGAGGGAAGAGGGAGGAGGAGGAGGAGGAGGAGGAGGAGGAGGAGGAGGAGGAGGGAAGGAGGAAGGAAGGAGGAGGAGCCGATAGGCCCTGCTGAAAAGCTTCGAGGTCCTCAGTAACAACTTCAGTTTCACGCCCGCCTGCATCCAGGAGGCCTTGAGGGAGGTCCACAGCTCGAAGGAGGACGAGCTCAAGCTATCCTCCCTCGAGCTCGACGACTGGGTCACCACAATGGACAAACGGCTGAGAGTTCTGTTCCAACACACTGCCCGTGAGAAACGGTGGGGATTACTTGATAAACGTCCTTCTCGTCGATCCTCCTCCTCCTCCTCGTCCTCCTCCTCCCCCTCCTCCTCCTCCCTCCTCCTCCTCCTCCTCCTCCTCCTCCTCCTCCTCCTCCTCCTCCCCCTCCTCGTCCTCGTCCTCGTCCTCGTCCTTCCTCCTCCTACTCCTCCTCTTCCTACTCCTCCTCCTCGTCCTCCCTCGTCCTACCTCCTCCTCCTCCTCCTCCTCCTCCTCCTCCTCCTCCTCCGCCTCCCCCTCCTCCTAGCTGCCCAGGCGGGCGACGTGGGCGAAATGGTTCGACAACATGGGGCTCAAGCCGCTCAAGGAGGAGGAGCATGCCGACACTCAGCACGACAGCCTGCAGAGCATTGCACCTTCAACACGGTACTCATACGGCTTCGACGTCGAGGTGAAAATGGCCTGGCGATTGGATGAGGACGCTTGCCGACAGGCCGACGTGGAGTTCGCCATCAAGATGCAGGAGCCCGACGACGCTTCAACAACAGATATGATGATGGCAGTGTTCGGAGACAAGTCGATCGCCAAGATACCCCAATGCTCAGTAGCCATGTGGAGGGCGATCAACAAGGACGGCAAGAACGGCAAGGACGGCAAGGACGACAAGGACGGCAAGGACGACAAGGACGGCAAGGACGACAACAAGGACGGCAAGGACGACAAAGGCGCCAAGGACGACAAGGACGACAAGGACGCCCAGGACGACAACGACAAGCCCGTGGCCAAGAAACCAGCGGGCAAACTTCGAGACATGCAGCTTCCGACGTCCAAGTGGGAGGGCTACGACAACGAGGAGAACTACGTGACGGTGACGTGGCGCCGCAATGCACCAAAGGATAAACGAGTGGAGTACCTGTGCAGGATCATGATCGCGGGGAAGCAGCTGCTGCAGATCGACAAATTGCACGCCGAGGGCGTGGGCATGGACGAGGATGCGCTGTTCAAGTGGATGGTCAACGTGGCGAAGAAGCTCACGAATGGCCAGACCACGAAGGAGAAGGCCCTCAGCATGAAAGACGAGCTCGGCCTGAACACCTACAAGAAGCGGTCTTCAACGGACAGCGGCGACCAACCTGCAGATGATGACGACGACACCAGCGTCATCCTACGTCGGCCTGCTGCTGCTCTACGTCGGCCTGCTGCTGCTCTACGCCGGCCTGCTGCAGGTGATGATGATGATAGTGATGGTGTGGCTCCTGGTGCTCCTGAGGCTGAACATCCACCTCGTGAGCTTCCAGCGCCTGCCAAGGACGGGACTGGTCCTCCTCCTATCGTCCTCCTCCACCTCCTCCTCCCCTCTCCCTCCTCCTTCGTCCGTCCCTTCTCCCTCCTCCCCTCCCCCTCCTTAAAAGGAGGGAGAGGCGCCGTCTGTAGTGGCGCCGTCTACGCCTCCAGTGGCTACCACTTCGGTCCCGACCCCCAAGAAGAAGAAGTGCCGCACGATCCCGCCGCCGAGCTCGGATAGTAATTAAACTTGCTTTGTGTATCTACGCTGCTCGACGCTGTGGGTAGCTCTGCAAAAACATGTTTCGTCATAACCCCAAGTCGACACGATCCTAATGCCCCCCTCCTCTTTAAAACCCTTCTTCTCTAAAACCCTCTAATCACACCCTAGCTGTTCCAGAGCAATTCGTCTCGATCAGGGGATGTTTCCAGAGCCCGCGATGGCCCCTCCACGTACTCGTACGGCCGCCGTGGGCCATGGCGCTGAAGCTGAGACTCAGCCCGTCGACACCCTGCCCGACCCCGTCGACGCCCAGCCCAACGACGGTGATGTTGCTAAGGTTCGGAGCGGGGGCTGAACCAAACGATACAGAGAGAGGAGCTAAGGAGGGAAAGAAGAGAGGAGTAAAAGGAGGGGAAGCACGACACTCTGTATCGTTTGGGTTCGGCTGGGGGGTAACGCTATACTCACTCCGTGGCCCCGAGAATGGGGGGGGGGTGCCATAAAGGATTCGATCGCATCTAGCTTTAGTTCGAAAAAGGGCGAGGGTTTGGACGGCTGCGACATGATCAGCGTCAGCGACTCGCCGACGATCGAGCCCACCGACGGCCGCGAGCTGCCCGAGGACGAGGTTAAGGAGCCAGACGGCGTCGACCCGCTTGGCTCAGTACCAGTCCTCGAGGCGGCCGCTGCAGCTGCTGTGGACCCGTTCGCCCGCGACCTCCTCGATGACAGCGACCCCCTGATCAACTACGCGAAGCGCACGCAGTTGGACGATGATGACGATGGTAGCCTCCCGAACGTGGACTTGGAGAAGGACCGCCACTTGGAGGGAGGAGGGAGGAGGGAGGAAGGATGAGGGAGGAGGGATGAGGGGGAAACAATGGAGGATGGAGAACGGACGAGGGAGGCTGGAGGGAGGAGGGAGGGAGGAGGGATAAGGGATGAGAGGAGGGAGGAAGATGAAGGGAGGGAGGAGGTGTTTTTCCAAAGTGTGTTGCCTGCATATCCTATAGTACATCTGCGACATGGTCCACGGCGCGATCGACGAGAAGCTGGAGTTCGCTGACGACGGAGCCATCGAGGTCGAGCGCGACACGGACATCACAGACCACCCAGCCTACCCGCACGACGATCAGTTAGACGACATCGCGCAGAACGGGTTCCTCTTCCCAGCGCGCGGAGCCCTGGGAGAGAGGTTCAAGCGTTGGGCGAAGAGGAACTGGAGTTGGCAGAAATGGGAAAAATACGACGCGGCTTCCAACAAGAGCAAGGAGCGCATGAGGGCCGAGTGGGCCAAGGACGAATACAAGGAGCTGATAGAGACGCGGGAGCTGCTGCAGGAGACGGCGGAGGTGAACACGAAGCGCTACCGCATGCTCAACGTCGACGCGATGATCCAGGCTGAGGGCGGACGGTATCCAAGCGTGATCAAGGGAGTCATCAACATCTGTGCCAAGAACATAAATCGTGGACCACCTCACGTCAAGCGGAGTCGGCAGAGTGGCCGAATGCTGTTCAGGTACGAGGAGGAGTCGAGCGAGACCAACACAAAGAAGACCTGGCTGAAGAGGATGCATGAGACAAAGTGTGATGATGAAGAAGATGAGCCTCCTCAGAAGCGTCAGTACTTGGCCGAGATCACGCCCGTGGCAAGGGCTCCAGCACCACCGCCAGAGACGCCAGAGAAGCTCGACTCCCAGCCGAAGGGCATCGACAACATCGCCGAGGCCAGCATCGACAAGAACGAGCACCTCGAGGACTCGGACGACAAGGGCAAGGGCAAGGGCAACAAGGGCAAGCAGAACAAGGTCAAGCAGAACAAGGGCAAGGGCAACGACAAGCAAAACAAGGGCAAGGGCGCGGGCAAGCGCGCGCAGCAGAAA